AAACTAGCTTTCACTGGGCAACATGGCAGGTATCATTTTTAACAATCTGTCTTCCCTCATTAAAACGATCAACCCATTCATTGATTGAATTTATAGGAAGTAATTGGTCTTAATAAATTGTGTGCAATTTTTTTATATGCTACGGCAAAGGGCTTTCTAAGATATATAATAAATTGTACAGCCGTTTGTTGAACGAGTAAGACTGAGACAACCATTTTTCGTCACAAGTGACCTACATAGTGACGTAATTTTCATATTGTGACGTCACAAACAAGGAACAAAACCTTATTTAGCATATGCTATTTAAAGAACTTGTGTATGGCTATGTGTGTACCAAATTTTATTCTAATCTGAATCGTGGTGTTGAAGATATAGAGATAGTTCGCGAACTTTTTGATCACCCCTCGTACCTTTTACTTTTTGATCAGACACATATTTTGTGTTTCTTAATAATATTGAAGGGTACTCATCTCTTATCCACAGCTCCTCCTATACCTCTGAATAAAATTAAACAATATTTTCACATAATCTTTATTTCATAATGCCATTATGCACCTCCTTTTTACTTTTTGATCTGAAACTCATTTCGGGTCTGCAAGAGTAAAACATGGCCATTATAACCATATCGGAGGCAGGGGATATCATTTGATGAGCTCAATGCTCACAGTGCCTCTAGTTTTTCTTTTTAAGGGAGTAACAATTTTTAACTAATTAATGATAGATAAATGTATCTTTACTTGAATTCTGGACATGTTGCACAGAGACACAACTAACTTTATGATGTCAATTGTTGGGCATATTCAGTATGTCAATGTTCTCTTCGATTGAGTTATTGTGCGTATCAATGCGACTGACGATGTCCAAAATAATCTGAGGCGAGCAACAATCGAATCAATTATTCGCACATGGAAAATTCAAAAAATTGATAATACGGAATGGATAATTCCATTAATTATTTAAAGAAATTATTTTAGATTGAAATATTAAATCAAATGAGTTGCTTATTTTTAAAATTAAAATGTTTATGTAAAATTGGTGTTCCAGTATATAAACGGACTGAAGAGTTGTCCTAATTTTACCGCAAGTTTCGGATTCTTAGTGTTAAGAAAATTTTCTTTCTACATCAATTATTTACTAAGAGACCCTGACAGATTCTGAAGTCTCTAGGATACAGTGGCCCTGATTGCCTGCCTTGTTCCGAAGTAGTGTAGATTCTGCGATTGTTCGGTGATAAAAAGTTGTTATCAAAGCATTTACACAGAAATTGACCCACAGTTTGCTACGCGGTTATACAATGACCTTTACATACTTGACATTTGTCTTCTAGTGTAAATTCAGACTTTTAAGGAAGTTTCGATAAAACTGAGAAAACGACCGACGTCCCAAATTTACGTATTGAGAATCTGAGCCTATGATACTTGTACGACACAACTCTGTTGTGGAAGATAAACACCTGTAAATGGTTATTAGATTTGTGAAGGTCATCTTGTCTTAGTTATTGTTTTTACATTGCATTCATTTTATTTTTAGGAATAAATAATAACGTTTTGGTGCTTGACCATCCCCAGTAAACATTGACGATACTACTCATGGTTAAGGATTACTTCAATGTTTTGTAGGTGTATATATACTAGTATTCTTCATAACAACCTTCACTGCTAATGTTCATGAGTGCCGAGTATAGGACAAAATTTGCAGCTCTCCACCGGCAAGTGGCGCCTTCATAGAGTGACAAATTCGGGAAAGGGACTTAAAAAAAACATACAATCATATGGACAATATCTCCAGCCAGTAAATTGCGTAAAAATAGATTTTTAAAAAAAATTCCTTAAATTCATCAAAATGCAATTTAATAAGGAACAAAATTAAACACAAAAATTTGACTTAATTTCTTGTTTTTGTTAAACTCTAATGACCACTTTTGTTTCCAGTCTCACAGGCATCCTTTTAAAAGAATGAAATGAAGTGAATCCATGGAATTAATTTCTGTTTGTTCATATAAGATTGGTTTTAGCATGTAGATCAAATAAACTTTTCCCCTTAAAAATCTGAATAGAATAATGCTGCAAAATCCAAAACTCATTTTATATATAATATTCAAAGGTTTACAATTACAAAATACCAGCCGGTAGGTAAACCCGTTTATAATAATGCGTAAACTGTCCCAAGTTATGTAATATCGTATAACATAGGTTAAAATAAGCTTCATTCCTTATAACTTGATTTCAGTGTAGACAATAAAACATATTTCATTCAAATTTTAAAATTAACGTCAAGTGGAGTAATATACAGTTATTGACTGGGTATGAGGGCAACATATGATTTGTTGGACCTGAAGGTGAAAATGTTGCCCGAGGCCACAGGCCAAGGGCAACATTTTCACCTTCAGGTCCAACAAATCATATGTTGCCCGAATCCCAGTCTATAACTGTTTTGTTATACCCTTCACTGCTCACTTACGATTGATCAATTTAATCAATACACGCTATATTATCAATTATTTTATATGGAAAATTATGGCTTCTTCAGTAAATATATAATATCAAGCCGAGAAAGAACAAAATCAATTATATATCTGTTGTATCACAAAAATTATTTATCACAAAACATACTTTTCCCTTCTTCCTTACCGTGCTGTTAGCAACAACTCTTGTAGCTCTTAACTTCGGCTATTTTCACGTCGCCGATATTGAACGATGATTAATTGTGACGTAACAGACGAGTGACGCTAACAATTCTTATATAAGACCGGTCAATAGTGAAATTGTTAGACCGGTGTAAAACAGTTCTTTTGTTGGACTTTTTATAAGTAATAAATATATAGAATGATATTTATAAGGGTATAACAATACATTTTTGACATAACTCATTGTGACGTAGGCAACAATATAAAATAATTTTTTTATCCAATCAAATGACGTGTAACAACTAAAATTAAATTATAAAACTGTACATTTTTAATCGTTGTCATTTGTTTTGCCAGGTTACAGATAAAAGCGATTTTTATTGTTTTCAAACATTGATTATTAATTACTGTAAAAATATTTCTTTAAATTAAATTCTATTGATATAACTAATGTGTGACATTTAAATTTATAACTTCCTCAAAGTTAATTTTTCTTCAAAAGTTTGTTCTACTATTTTTTTTTTAAATGAAACTAAATGTATCAAACGCTTTATTATATCCCCGCTTTAAAAGTGGGAGCTAGGGTACATAGTGATCGGGATTTCCGTCCGTCCGTCTGTTACGCTTTAAGGTACCCATCTTTCATCCGCAATACCTATTAATATACCACTGAATGAAATTAAATGAGACTTTCACAGAATATCTGTTGTATAGTGTCATTGTGCACCTTCTATTTTACTTTTTGATACTACACAGATTTTGGGTTTTACATAGCAAAACATGGACACTACCATTCTTTCTATAATACTGAAGGATACCCATCTCTCATACGACACTCCTCTTATAACATGTATAAAACTGAAAAAAAATCAATATACTATCACAGATTCTTTTTCAAGTATTGCCATTGTGTACTTCCTGTTTTACTTTTTGATGCGACACATATTTTGGGTTTCACATAGCAAAACATGGACATTGCCATTCTTTCTATAGTACTGAAGGATACCCATCCACAACTCCTCCAATACCGTTGAATAAAATTTAATGATAATTTCAGAATTCTTTTCTACATAATGCAATTGTGCACCTTCCTATTTCACATTTTGATCTGACACTTTTTCGGGTCTCCCAGAGCAAAACATGGGACTTTGCCATTATAATCAAATGGGAGACGGGATGTATAATTTTGTGATCTCTGTGCTCACAGTACCTCTAGTTATGATATAAATCTTATGTTATTTAAAAAAAAAAACCAAAACATTTATCTACCTTGCACTGGCAAAGTAGCAGGAAAACAGTTGATAACTAAGGTTGATTATGCAACTTCACCTTATATAACCCAAATCATACCTACTGGTTGCAATTCAAATAGAAAGAAAATTGAGCTTCTGGAAAAAAATAAAACTTTTCTTTGTTAAGTGTTTGTATGTACAAGCAGCTTTTGAACAAAAATGCTCTTTGGTATCAAACACCATTAGGGTTGTTTTGCCTTTCTAGTCTCAGACATGTTTTAAAACAAATGTTTATGATAGTTGGATGTATTAAAAATAGAAGAGTTCTTGGTAAACGTTTGAAGACAAATATACTGTTTTAAAATTTTATCATTACATGTTTATACCGTGAATCAAGAGTAAAATACTTCAGAGGGAAGCGTTATTCTTCTAAATGTCAGGTGATACTTATATATTTATAAATAAGCATGGTAAATGTACTTATATGTATATATATCTAGGACATTTGTCACATTTGACCTGTAGGGGGCGTTGATAACTAAGAAAGCAGTCATTAGGATTGCCAGAGAGGTCGAAAGGATTAAATTATGTCTTAAGCCACAATTCATAGCCTTACTCTCAGATGTAAAATAACCAATAAAAATAAATAAATGAAGAAGAATAGCTTTTTCCTGATTCATAAAAAAGATAACCCGAAAATAAGATTCGTATAAGTTTTCTATAAAATTACTGAGTACTTAAAATGCTTAAAATGCTGTTGTTTTGTCATAAATATAGTTAATTTAAAAAATATATTCGTGTTCAACATTTATTTACAGGTGTCATGTGTAGATGCCAAAGAACACTTTTGAAGTTTTTATTCCTTATCACTTATCAATGTTTTGATCTGAGCCTCTAAACTCGCTTGGTTCACCAAAATTGAAACTTTTTAAAGTTTTTTTTTCGTAATTGTCCTTGATGATAAAATTAAAAACAAATCAACATCATAGCTACTGTAAACACAAATAGTACAAAGAAGAATCATATGAATTTGCCGTGATAAGCATGAAGGTATCAAAATTTCCCTATCCCTAGCTATCAAAGAATTTGCGAACTTGGTCAGATAAAAGGCCAGTGTAGGGCTAGATCAGATCATTTTATACGGGGTCCTTGGCCGACATGCGTCAGGCTTTGATTCTTTTTTCCTGCGCTCTTGTGAGCCTGAGGGGCGCAGAAAGCGCTGCAACTGCAGCACCCTGTAAGTGTGCCTTGTTGTAAAGTAGATATGGTTTCATACCATACTGGGATCTTCATAATTTTTGGACCTAAATCAGGACATTGTTTTAACACTTCATTCAGGGTTTCTCATTATTTGCATTTTTTAAAAAAATACATATATGATCAGTAATATTTTGAAATAAAATAATAAATTATCTAGAAAATGTTATTTTTAATTTTTAGAATATTTTTTGCTTCGAATTGTGTGTTTTTGTAAAGATCGTCATGCTTTTTATTCACTTGCAGCAAAAAACCTTTTGACAACATACAAACAATTTACAAATACCTTGATTTCAAGATTTCTCCGTTTGATTTAAATAATACGCTAATCTTTCTCTCAATATTTGCAGCATGTGGCACTGTTCCTGCAGATATTGTGTTTTTACTTGACTCTTCAGGATCCGTGGGATCAGCAAACTTTCAAAAGCAGCTAGACTTTGTGAAAAAATTCGCTAACACATTTGACATAGGACCTAACAATGTGCAGATTGGTGTTGAGACGTTTGCCACGTCTCCTCACCATCAGTTTTTCATGAACAAATATCCAACTAAGAGTACACTGCTAAATGCCATAGGCCATGTACCTTACCAGTCGGGTTCCACTCACACCGATCTGGCTTTGAAGTACGTCATGGACCATGACTTTAAACCGGCTGCTGGGGACAGAGACCATGTGGTCAACATCCTTATTGTGATGACCGATGGTCAGTCCAACGACCGCCAAGCCACCATTACTCAGGCAAACAAGCTCCATAGTATGAACATCAAAACATTTGGTATTGGTATCGGTAGTGGAATTAACAGGGCGGAATTAGAACATATTGCAACTGACGCAAAACACGTCTTCACTGTATCAAACTTTGATGCTCTGAACACCCTGCAAGCAGAACTGAAGAAGACAGCTTGTGAAGGTTGGTTATTGTTTTAGTTTATTGTTTATTTTGAACAATTAAAAGTTATCATAAGAAAATATTTGTGAATAATTATTGTTTTCATCAATAGTTATCATAAGGAAATATGCGTGCGCATATATTATAAAGCAAAATTCTTTGGTAGACACATGAAAAAAATTGAAATAGCTAGGACATTTATTGATCAGGATGCAACAAAGTTGTTATCATACCGAAAGAGGCATTATTTAATTATTTTTTTGTAAACTTTTCTCATGTAGCGATATGATCTCCTGCAACATGTATCCAATATTCTCTTTTTGTAATCTTTATAGAATATTTCGAAATTGATCTGTTTAGTACAAGTAAATGATATTTTCGTGCATTTTACTTTTGTATTATTATCATTTATTGACAATTCTAAATTATACCATAAATACTGAAGAAGATGTTTCAAAAAAGGTTGCATTCTTTAGTGTCTGTTGGAAGTAAACGTTCTGAAATTACAATTGTCACAATTCGTTATTGACAAGATTTCAGTGAATTATCGTTGATCATAGACTTTCTGTGCGTGTCCTTACTAATGCGACGTAGATAGCATTAAGTTATAAGGGCTTGTCTGGAAAATGAACAAATGTTCAATGAAGGTGTGTTCACGTAGAACATTAGCAGGAAATGTCATAGAATAAGATATGTACTCCTGTTACATATCTTGACCCTTGAGTTAAGTCGAACAATAATTCAATTTTTATTTTGCGACTAACTAGATGCAGATTCTACACCTTTTTAGTTTTATTACATTATATAATTAATATTCAAAATGAATGAATTAACACGTCTGCATTGTATACATAATTCGCCGACATAATAAGATTTTATATAGACTGAAATAAAGATACAAATACCAATAGTCGTTGTAATATATATTTCCTTTACAGTGAATGTTTATACTAGGTAGTAATAATATTTCTTACCTTATAGGTAATGATTTCATTTTTAATTTTCTTTTTTTTTCAAACGAAATGGGTTGTCAACCAATTTTAAAACGCATATATATCCATCTTTCAGTCGACGGAGCTTGGAGCAAATTCGGATCCTGGTCTCCCTGCACCAAAACTTGTGGTGGAGGAACTCATTATAGAGAAAGGTCTTGCAACAACCCTCCACCTGCCAATGGCGGTAAAAACTGTGTCGGAGCTGCAAGAGAAACAGGAACCTGCAACACTAAAGCATGCCCAACGACACCCCCTCCCACTACCAAACCCCCAACAACCCGACCCCCTCCCACCACAACTCCCCGACCAGGTAAACTCCTGAACAGACCCAAAAATTGGATATGATTAAGTTACTCAACCCCTTTATCAACTAATGATCTTAATCTGACTTGTACCTTATATATTGACATATTTTAATTTTTTTTTTTTACACTTTTGTAATCCGAATTTAGAAATTCACATAATTTTTTTTATTTAAAATATATAACGTATTTGCTGGAATTAAAGGACATTGCATAATCTGTCATATATTTCTTTTTCAGGATGTGGTGTTGTTCCCGCTGACATTGTCTTTATTCTTGACTCTAGCGGCAGTGTAGGAAATACAAATTTCCAGAAGATGTTGGACTTTGTCAAGAACATGGTTAATGGTATGGACATCAGCACAACTGGAACAGAGGTCGGTGTCATCACCTACAGTGACAGAACGCATCTGGAATTCCACTTGAATGCACACCACGACAAGCAATCCCTCACAAATGCTATCAATAGCATCAGATATATTTCTGGAGGAACCAACACAGCTGATGCCTTGAAATATGCCCGGGAAACAAGCTTCCAGACAGCCAACGGTGCCAGAAATAATGCTGCCAAGATTGCTATCGTTATTACCGATGGTAAATCGACCAGTACCATTGCCACATCTGCCGAGGCTCAGAGGTTAAGACAGAAAGGAGTTACCGTATTCTCTGTCGGTGTCGGAGCAGCCAACAAACAGGAACTGGACGCCATGGCTACTGACCCAGATGCTTCTCACGTTTTCGTTGTCAACAATTTCGATGCTTTAAAACAGATCAATGGTGAATTGGCACAGAAAGCGTGCGAAGGTAAGCAAAATTGTTGCATTGTTGTTTTCGGTTGTCCTTAAGGATTTAGGTATATCAAGAAATTTTAGGAAAAAGATATAATAACAAGATTTTCTTTTTTCACAGTCAAAGCAACCACCGCCCCACCACCAGCCAACAAAACAGGTAGATTTATGTTCGGCAAATAATATATTGTAAAAGTAAATAAAGAGAATGCCAAAATAAATTTGAAATACAATTAATCCATCTCTTTTTAACTACACTACATTCAATATGAAAAAAAAAATATCTTTTTACCTCAAGACTGTGGTGCTAAGGCCGATATCGTCTTTTTACTGGATTCCTCTGGAAGTGTTGGGTCCACCAACTTCAACAAGATGCTAAAGTTTGTCGAGGGTGTTGCCCAGACGTTCAATATTGGACCAAATGATGTTCAGATTGGAGTGGACACCTTCTCCACAGGACACAAAGCTGAATTTAATTTGAATTCTCATCTTGATAAGCAATCTTTGGTTACAGCCATTAGTCACATCCCTTACAAATCTGGTTCAACTCACACTGGTGAAGCCATCCAGTTTATGCATGCAAATAGTTTCACCTCTGCTGCAGGTAAATAGACAAAAATCTTTGAAACTTCATTGCATCTTTTTCCATGTAGAAAGTTTTACTGCTAACACCAAAAGCTTTTTGGATTCTTAACACACAAATGTTATAAAACCTTTTATTTTCAAGGAAAGAGGCCGGGCGTACCGAAGATTGCAATTGTTGTCACAGACGGTAATTCTAACAACAGACAGTTGACTTCTGCTGAGGCCGCCAAAGCCAGAAAGGACAACATTACCATGTTTGCCATAGGTGTTGGACACGGAATCAATGATAATGAATTAAATGCCATTTCATCAGATCCTAATAGCCAATACACCTTCCATGCTCAAAGCTTCGATTCTTTGACTTCCCTTAAAGGATCTCTATCATCTAAGACTTGTGAACGTAAGAATAATTCATCACATGATGTTCATTATAATTGGACTAAAAGTTGGGATTTTAAAATGGAAAACTTTCAGATTATTAATGCTATTAATTCATCCACAACATGTATTTTTATTTCTTATGCACAGAGGCCAAACCAACCGTAGGACCAGCTCCTAGTAAGTATATATTTGAAATCTCCATATTTTTATATAAGAAATACAAATTTCGCGTATCAAATGGCGGTTATGGTTTGAAATAAAAAACCCATTCATTTGTATTCTCTGTAGACTGCAAAGCTGGAAGTGTTGCCGATATCGTATTTGTTCTGGATTCCTCTGGAAGCATCACGAAACCAAATTTCGATAAAATGATCAACTTTGTTAAGGACATGGTAAGAAGTTTCGACGTTGGAGCAAACAAAATCCGAATTGGTCTTGAAACTTTCAGCAGCCGTCCCTATCAAGAATTCCAACTTAACTCCCACATGGACAAAGCCTCTCTCTTAGCTGCTCTAGATAAGATCACCTATAAGAGCGGTGGTACCAACACAGGAGATGCTCTCAACACCATGTACTCCAAAATGTTCACCGCTGCTAACGGCGACCGTTCAAACGTACCAAATGTTGCCATCGTTCTCACTGACGGTAACTCCAACAATCACCCCAAGACAGTTAAGGAAGCTAACAATGCCCACAAATCGGGTATCAATGTCTTTTCTATTGGTATTGGCAGAGGCATTTCCAAATCTGAGTTGAATGATATTGCCTCAGATCCTGACGCCGATCATGTTATGACAATTACAAACTTCAATCAGCTCCAGCAAATTCAAGGTGCCTTCCAGGCCAAGACCTGCAATGGTATGTATACATTTTTTTTTTAATATTGCATTTGATACATTCAATTACATACATGTATAGTGAATACGAATTTTAAAATGCACCGGAGAAATCAAGCTCAATTTAATTATTATGCCAAAAAATTATTTAATTTTAGTTATCCCTCCTTCTCCTGGACCCAACATGACTCGTAAGTATTAAGATTACTTATAAACAGATTCTTTGATAATAAAGTATTGAAGAGACCAGAGGAAGTAACTGTGTTTTATCTCTCTCTTTCTAGCCCCTCCACCAATCGACCCCTGCCAAGATGCCATCGCTGACTGTGCTAGATATGGCCAGTCCTCCTGTATCGGACAATACACTGATTGGGCTAAAATCAATTGTCAGAGATTCTGTCAATTCTGTACACGTAAGTTAATATTTGTTAAAAAGTTTTGTCTTAATTATTAACATATACTTAGTACATGTACAGTAACAGACAACTTAAATTTTACTAACATATCAATAATAAAGATATACCATACTTCAAAGATATCTTCTCATTCGGCTTGTTCAGAAATAATATCAAGATTTCTTTATTCATTTCAGCTCAGATCAAGACCCCACCCCCTCCATGTGAGGACTCGCTCGCTGCCCCTCAGAAATGCACTCAATTCGACCCTAATGTCTGCACCCAGTACAAACCCTGGGCTCAGGCAAACTGCAGAAAATTCTGTGGATATTGCAGTGTGTATATTTTAAATTAAACATTATAGCCATAAAGTTTGTATTTGAGCATGTTGAGTCATAATAAATAACACCAGTTAAAAAGATTGATTCTTTTTAATAATTAATTTCCTTGCAGGTCCTGATGCAAAGGGACAACCCGGATACTGTACGTATTAGACTTTTCTCATTGAACATATATAAATCACTATTCTGAAAGTTTTTAATTTCACGTATTTCTTTTTTATCTCTCTTAGATGGAAAGTGTTATTACAATGGCAAGACATACACACAAGGACAGAGGTGGTCTGACGGATGTGCTTACGAATGTACATGCGATGATGCCCTCCATGGAAAATACAGCTGCTACAACAAGTATGTTATTTTGTAAAATTTTAAATTTAATTTTGTATGGTATGACGTCACTTACTGTGAAACTTGTCTAAACAATGGAGCATTTTAATGCTCTCGTCTTGATTTAATTTTGATGCCTCTGTAAATATTAAAAGATTTTTTCCAGGACAGGGTCTACTCTCGAATCTTATAGTGCTGAATTCCTTAGAAAGATTAAGACAAATGGAAGATAAATGAATGGCCAGATTTTCTAACACAATAATAATCGAATGGAATTGCATAAATTCAAAAATTAGCCCATGCTTTAAGGATAAATTTTCATTTAATGCCATACACAGCTGTTCTTCAAGCATTTCTACTTACATTTTCTTTGCCCTGTCTTAAATATTTATTGCACAGCTAGAAGGAAATGAAAGCGTAGAATTTTTTGAGAACAAATACTCCAAATACGTTCTATATTTATAACATTTCAAATAACAAATAAAATCCAAATATACTGTGATTAAGGTCCCAAGAACTTACATACAAATAAAATCAACTGTTCAATTAAATGAATGGCTTTTTAGATGCCCCGCCTACTACAACCTACCTCCTCAGTGTACTCTGACAAAGAAGACAGGAGAGTGCTGTCTGCAGCCCGTCTGTAACTTTAACCCTCAGTACCAGACTCAGACAGGCCAGAAGGTCGCCAACGTCAACGGAGTCAGTAAGTATCATATTATAGATTTCTAGTGTACCACTATATATTATAGATTTCTACTTTACCACTATAGAGCACCCCAACTCCTATTGGTATATTTTAATTGCTCCTTCAGGATATTTTTCAATTTTGGATCCATATTTCAAAATGGTGTCCTCATGTATATACCAATTATAAATGTTATAATTATTCTAAAACATATGTCTGTAAAAAGTATCAAAAATATATTGAAGTAAAGGTATGCGTGTTGAACTGAATCACTTGTATATTTATTTTTAGTAATCAAATCAAATAGCTTAAGTTTTTGATATTTATAAAATGTTTTTGTTTCTTTGATTATTCTTATTTTTTTTTCATTTTTTGTCTATTAACTAATTGTGAAAGACGTTACCTCTCTTATCAGACATGTGTATGTATGCTGGTAAAAATTACTACCAGGGACAAACCTGGTCTGTTGGATGTGAATACGACTGTCAGTGTGTTGATGCTGGCGCTGGAATGTGGAGTTGTCAATCAAAGTAAGTCACGCCCCTAATCACTTTCAATCAGATATCCATATGCTTTTAACAGCTTCCAATCAAAGTTAGCGTTTCTGACTGGTTGGGTTTGCCTTTTCAATACATCATTGATGACATTCAAAATATCTGTTCTACAATAATAGAAATATCGAATTAAAATAATTGGTAGCGTAACATATATGACCATCAAGTACTGTAATGCCCAGAAAGGATAACGAAGGCTCTACGTTAAAATTTGAACCGTTTTTCTACAAAAAAAATGAAAGTCTATTGTCAGCTTCACATAAAAGAAGCTGCTTTAACATTGTCCAAGAGAGCATTCTATTTAAAATTTCATTGGTTTGTAAATAAGTAAATTACCACGGTATATATAAGCAATGCTTCTCAGGTCAATTTACGTTCACAGAAACTTTAAATAAAGTAAACTACACTTTATTTTAAAAAAAAAATAAATATACAGAGTGCCTACCTTGCAGATGCCCCGTTTACCAGAATATCCCATCCATCTGTCATTTGGAGACTCCTGCCGGTCAATGTTGTCAGGAGCCAAGATGTGACTTCAGCAACCAGTTCGGAACCTTCTCCGGTGTTGGAACTATTTCTGGAAACGGAACAGGTACGTCAGTTCTTAAGCTTTTTTTTTAAAAATTGAAACCATGATTAAAATGTCTTTTGTTCCTTCCCTTATGACTTTCCTAAAACTGATTTTAATAGAAGTCGCTGCATATCATTTACTGAACACGCGAAATTTAAAATAGCAAATGTGTGTACTATTACTATGCAGAACAATTATTGAAAATATTTTTACTATATTTTATAAATGTTGATTCAGCAACCACCCAGCCAACAGCCCCTCCACCATGCGTTGACAAGATCAACAACTGTAATCAGTACCAACTGGCCACGTGTACAGACAAACTCTACAGAGACTGGGCTCTGGTTAATTGTCCCAAATTCTGCGGATTCTGTCGTAAGTAATATATTCTCTTTCTCTTTTTTTAATTTTCAACCATTCCTTCCAAACACAGTACCTGCTATTCTGAAGATAAACCACATATGATTATATTGTTTAAACGATTTTCCGATCAAATTAAAAGAAGCACTCATTAAAGGTAATTAAAATTGGTCTATAAATACTAGACATGTTTGCGACGAATTATAATCAATATTATAACAAAACAAATCGTAAAAAAAGTCCCAATCATACTGCAGCAGAATTAAATACATGGATCTATTTTGCTATCTATCTTGAAAATCTTATACTGACCTTTAGCGTTGATTTTAACTAATACTTTAAATTATAATGTTTTACTTTCAGCTTTGTTGAACCAACCTGGACCTGATGGTAATATTGTTTCCTAAATTATCAATTTAACTCATCTAATCATTTTTTATGAAATTTAATACATTTTATAAGTTACCATAAATATCCAACAGTGATATTCAGTTCTTTAAATAAAGTTTTTATTGTCTTTTCAACCCCTTGTATATTTTTGTTTTTGTAGATCGCTGTGTTTACAAGGGAACGACTCACAAACAAGGAGAGACTTGGTATGACGGATGTGAATATGAATGTTTGTGTGAGAATGCTAAGTATGGATACTACAGGTGCAATAAGAGGTATGGAATCACTTTATCAATATATAAATATAGCCCTTTGATGAGGTCGATCCATAGATATATCGACTTCACAGAAAAGCATACCGACCGAGCACGAAGTGCGAGGTCGATATGCTTTTCTGTGAAGTCGATATATCTATGGATTGACCGAATTTAAGGGCTACATTTGTTATATTATTTTTTGCATAGGTTGACAAAACACAATTAGAAAATACATGTAGTGGGAACAAGACACAAGTTTCCTCTCTTTAACACTTACAGACTAGAGATCAATATACTATAAGTAAAAGAAGCAGTTTTATGTAATTGTGTTTCCTCAATCGATGGAGTAATTTAGATGATTTACTTATTCAAAATACTACATTTATTTGATTATGTTTTGTATCAATTTTTGACAATATGTTCAAATATAAAGTAGATCCTAGTTCAAGGCATTGTTATGTCTCATCTATTACAGAACATTAAAAAATATTAATACAAGATGAAGTATATTTTTTTCCAGAAACATTTAGTCATACTCTATATTAGCTGAAATCAGTACTTTTTTAGCTCTACTGGTCAGAGACCAGAAGAGCTTATGCGATAGTAATGCGTCCGGCGTCCGTCCGTCTGTCCGTCTGTCTGTCTAGCTGTCCGTCTGTCCGTCTGTCTGTAAACAATTTTTCAAAATGCTACTCCTCCTACAGTTTTGGTCTAATTTCAATATAACTTGGCACACAAGTAGACTACACTAAGATACATAATTCTGTGTATCGGTTTTTGATTTCGATGAACGGTGTTGCCGTGGTTACTAAAAATAGAAATTTCTGTGAAAGTCTTTCAAAATGCTACTCCTCCTACAGTTTTAGTCTGATTTCAGTATAACTTGGCACACAAGTAGACTATACTAAGATACATAATTCTGTGTATCGGTTTTTGATTTCGATGAACGGTGTTGCCGTGGTTACTAAAAATAGAAATTTCTGTGAAATTCTTTCAAAATGCTACTCCTCCTACAGTTTTGGTCTGATTTCAGTATAACTTGGCACACAAGTAGACTACACTAAGATACATAATTCTGTGTATCGGTTTTTGATTTCGATGAACGGTGTTGCCGTGGTTACTAAAAATAGAAATTTCTGTGAAATTCTTTCAAAATGCTACTCCTCCTACAGTTTTGATCTGATTTCAGTATAACTTGGCACACAAGTAGAATACACTAAGATACATAATTCTGTTTATCGGTTTTTGATTTCGATGAACGGTGTTGCCGTGGTTACTAAAAATAGAAATTTCTGTGAAATTCTTTCAAAATGCTACTCCTCCTACAGTTTTGGTCTGATTTCAGTATAATTTGGCACACAAGTAGAATACACTAAGATACATAATTCTGTGTATCGGTCTTTGATTTAGATGAACGGTGTTGCCGTGGTTACTAAAAATAGAAATATCTGTAAAATTGTTTCAAAATGCTACTCCTCCTACAGATTTTGTCTGATTTCAATATAACTTGGCACACAAGTAGAATACACTAAGATACATAATTCTGTGTATCAAATTTTAATTTTGATGAACTGTGTTGCCGTGGTTACTAAAAATTGAAATGTCTGTAAAATTGTTTCAAAATGCTACTCCTCCTACAGTTTTTGTCTGATTTCAATATAACTTGGCACACAAGTAGACTACACTAAGAACATAAAGAGACTTTATCAACGATCATTATTCTATATATTACTGTTGTAAAGTTTCAAATCCCAGCTGCTTAAGTACTCTTCTCTTCCTTTGCTATAAGTTCAAACCAGTAGAGCTTCAGTCTCGACAGAGACTTCTGGTTTTGTTTTACAGAAAATTATCTCCATTTTAAGAAACACCAAGTCGATATGCATTTCAGTTTCTATAAATAGTAACTCGTCTTTATGCTGTTATATACTTAATCATGTGATCAAGTTTGAGCCAATCAGAGAGCTTGGAATAAATGATCAAAATAATATTGTATAATAATATTAATAATATCATGAGTCATGCGATGTTGAGACAAAAAATATGACTGGTATATTATATTTCAGGTTAAGTGAAAAAAAACTTGCAGAAAATATTATTATTCCATGTGAAGCAGTTCGCATTAGATAAAGATATTGATAAGCAAATAAATTTATAAATTTTCTTTTATGCAAGATAGCTTTTCTATACTGTAAATGTATGCAAGAGTTATGTTTCTTATTCAAAATTATGTACCTTTAAATTGTAAACAGACAAAAGGGTTTAAAGCCAAGTTAATTATCCACGAGGCGATAAATAATTGTCACAAAATATATTTCAGATGCCCTGATTATACAAATCTACCTCTTGGATGTAATATGGTGAAGGTCAATGGTGAATGTTGTCCTACTATCAACTGTACTGCAGGAGCACAGGGAACTTTTGTAGGTTCTGGTACAGTGCCATCTATCGGAGGATATCCCATCCCATCTATCAGACCCACAGCTGCTCCTAACCCGCTCAATCCAGGCGCACCCACCGTGGCACCACAACTTGTGCCCAAGCAGATTGGTTTGCAGAATTTTCCATTTTAACTAGAATTAAAATTATACATTTCATTTTTTTTTTTTTATATACGAGGGATGATCAAAAAGTTCGCGGACTACCTCTATATCTACAAAACCACAATTCAAATTAGAAAATAATTTGGTACACAAATAGCCATCCACAAGTTCTATTAATAGCATATGCTAAATAAAGTTTTGCTCCTTGTTTGTGACGTCACAATGTGAAGATGACGTCACTATGTAGGTCACTTGTGACGAAAAATGGTTGTCTCAGTCGAACTCGTTCAACAAACGACTGCAAAATTTATGGTATATCTTAGAAATCCCTTTGAAGTAGCGAAAAATTATTTATACACAGTTTATTCAGACATATGACTTCCTATAAATTCAATCAATGATTGGATTGATCGTTTTAGTGAAGAAAGGCAGATGGTTAAAAATGATACTTGTTATATGGGCCATTGAAAGCAAGTTTGAAAGGAGAAGCAATTTGCTATCAAAGACATCCAATTTACGCTTTGAAAAATAGTTAAATATTTCAACAATAATATATTTATTTAATATCTAAGATATCGTTTACTTAAGATTTTAAACATAAAAGATATGATAAAAAGGAGGCAACGATTCTCTATCCACCTTGAATAAATGTCTCTCCCGAGAAAGACGATTTGGGTTTTGATGGTCGCCATGCTTATTTCTGGAAAGGATATTCTTATCCACCCATTCTGCTGCCGAGATTTGACCATTTCTGACAAATGAACTGTTCTTGTTATAAAATTAACTTACATGGAAAGAAATATAAAACTCAGAAAAATCTTTCAGCTCTTGTGACAGTACGCTACGGAGTGGGTCACGTGACTGCCTATATCACGTGATTCGCGCATAAGCAAAACGGTTACAGATGTGCATTAAAATCGGAGAGGACTAGTTTAAAATATAATCAACATTGAAAGCAAATATTGTTTCGTTTATTTAAGTTATTCAATTAGTTCGCGAACTCTTTGCTCACCCCTCGTAAGTGATCATAAAATGAAATACAATTTTGAAATGAATCGGTAGTATAGAAAACCCTTAAATATAATACTGCTCTTGAACATGATAATGCCAATCTTCATCTTTCTCCAGATGGATGTTACTACAATGGTCAGTTATACCAGCAGTCACAGAGATGGGTGGATGGAT